AATGGATGGATGGAAGAATGAATGGATGGATGGATGGATGGAAGAATGAATGGATGGATGGAAGAATGAATGGATGAATGAATGGATGGATGGATGGATGGAAGAATGAATGGATGGATGGAAGAATGAATGGATGGATGGATGGATGGATGGATGGAAGAATGGAAGAATGGAAGAATGAATGGATGGATGAATGGATGGATGGAAGAATGGAAGAATGAATAGATGGATGGATAGATGGATAGATGGATGATGGACAGATGGACAGAGGACACTTCCTCACCTTGTCCATGGACCCATCCCTCAGCATCAGGACCAGTCCGTTCAGTCTCTGGATTTCTCCGTCTTTGATCTTGATGACCCTCATCAGCTCCATCTCATGTTGCCGTAGCAACGTCTCCCTGGTGACGGCCAGCTCCTTCTGCTTCTCCTCGTGGAGTTTGGTCCTCAGCTCCGTCATGGCGACGGCAGCTCGGTGATGCTCCGCCTTCAAATCCTGGCTCCTCTCCCTCTCCAGCCGGCTCACCTGTGGGACCGTCAGAGTGATATCAGAGTGACAGAGTGATGTCAGCGTGACAGAGTGATGTCAGAGTGATGTCAGCGTGATGTCAGAGTGATGTCAGCGTGATGTCAGAGTGATAGCGTGATGTCAGAGTGACAGAGTGACGTCAGAGTGATGCAGGTGTACCTGGTGAAGGTGAGCTCGTTCTTACCTTGTTCTTCTCCTGTTGAAGCTCGATTTGAATCTCCGTCAGTTTGGCTCTCAGCTCCTCATTGGCTGCCTGAAGGGTTGCCATGACGTCTGGTCGTTCTCCTTTGCCCCTCCCCCCAGCGCCTGGCTTTGACATCCCTGTAGGCTGACCCTGTCGTGAGCTGTCCGTCAACCTGATTTGTGACTACACACACACACAGACACACACAGACACACACAGATCAGTCTCAGCAGACCTCCTGATCCACCTGAACCAGGTGACAGGTGTGATGAAGAGCTGTCTCCGTGGATACAGCTGTCATCATCATCATCATCATCATCATCATCGTCACACTCAGATGAAAAACTCACCGTCCAACAGGAAGCCTCAGACGCCTCATAGTTGTGTTGGTGTGCAGATCAACCTGTGTGCAGCATGCTATCAGCAGCTAGCCTCTGCAGCTCAGTGTGTGTCTCTGTGTGTGTGTGTGTGTTGTGAGCGGTGTGTGCTGCCTTCCTGCCTGCCTGTGTGTGTCTCATGCGTGTTGTGGCCAGCTGCTGTCAAAGTGTGTGTGTGCCAAGTGTGTGTGTGTGTGTGCTGCTAGCATCCCATCTCTGCTAGTATCCTCTCCTCTTCTTCCTCTTCTTCCTCCTCCCAGCATCCCTCGGTGTGATGAAGAGCTGAGCCAGGTGAACTCTGCCTCCATCTGCTGGACAAACATCATCATCATCATCATCATCATCATCATCATCATCATCATCATCATCACTGACTGAACGGTGATCGGAAACCACATTACTTTAATGTATAAAACTATATTTTTAGAAAAATATGTGATGTGCTGACGTCATGGTTTTTACATTTAGCTTTAATAGATGATAGTCTATTTATCCTTCCATAAATACAGAAACAAGGCCTGTATCGGGTGTTATCAGTTGTTTTCCATTTAAAAATGATACATGCGGCTCTTTTTATGCCTCTCTCCAGAAACTACCACATCTTTTTTGGCATTGCTTATAATTTATTATTGTTATTTAACCAGGCAGTTACCTGTGAGATCTCAGATCTCTTTTTCAAGGGCGGCCTGGGCCTGAAGGCAACCTGTTGTACATGTTTTTAGAGGTGGGGGAAACCAGAGTACACGGAGAAAACCCACACAGGCACGAGGAGAACATGCAAACTCCACACAGAAAAACCCAGGTCCGAACCAGTACCTTCTTGTTGTGAGGCATTGTGCTGCCAATGATAATGAAATTATCTTTTTTTGTTAATTTTTTGCAAATGGCAGTGTAAAGGAAAATCAAACTTAGATCCTCAACATTATTGCAAAGTTCTACATATATTAATTTTAATTCTTGTGTAAAAACAAAAAAAGGCAAAAAAAATATTTTCTGTCTTTTTAAATAAATTTGAAACTTACATTAGTAATGTTGAACCATGTATGAATAGGAAAACTGTTAAAACAATATCAGAA